AGGAGACAGGGACAAAAATATGTTATTTTTTGCTTGTTTAAAAATGGGAACAAACAGCTTGTTTTTATTGAGGGTGGTTTGTCAATGAGCTTTACTTGACTGATAATACAGTTGAAAATATGCATGTGTCTGTTAGAGGAGTGGGAAAGATTGTAGATGTCTTTCCTTTGGAGAGATCTTCTAAGACAGTTGAGTTAGGGCTGCTTAAAGAACCGTAACTGAGTACTGCCAACTCTTCTGATCTTACTGTAACTCCTGTGATATTTGTTGCTTTTTCTTAAAGCCCCAGCTGCTGGAGTCAGGAGATTTCAAGAGACACTCAGATTTCACTTAAAATCCAAAGGGAGCTTCAAGCTCTTCTTGGGTGGAGGAAACTTTAGAAGCCTGAAGTGAGACTGTCCTGACTATTCAGAAACCAACAGGAGCAAAAAAAAAAATGTCCTGCTAAATGCACGGTTATATAGATAGAGGGGTTCTCACCCATGACTTTTATACTTTTGGGTTTGGCAATAGTGATGACATGTAGCATACCCAAGGTGTGGGTTGGATGCAGTGTGATTTTCAAGGATGCCAGAATTAAGATAAATTGGGTTTCTGTTTATTCCCACCCTCCCTAGGCAGCCTAGAGGGGCTGTTGCCACCCCCAGTGAAAGTACCCAATGACAAGAGGAGTTGAAGGAGAGCAGTAATGGCTAATTTAGTGGTAGAGTTGGACTAATGCATGGTACTGATTGTCGCTCCTTTGTTTGCAGGTGAGGCCATCCCAGCTCATTGCTGCATCCTATCGGCCTGCAGCCCCTTCTTCACAGAGCGCCTGGAGCGCGAAATGCCGCCCAAGGGCCGCAAGGTAGTGCTGGAGCTCCGGGGACTGAAGATTGGGACTTTGAGGAAGCTGGTGGATTTTTTGTACACATCAGAGATGGAGGTGTCTCGGGAAGAGGCACAGGATGTCCTGGCTGCTGCCCGGCAGCTCCAAGTGTCAGAATTGGAGTCACTGAAGCTGGAGGGTGGGAAGCTTGTGAAGCAAGCCCTGGGCCGGCGCTTGAACCGGGAGTGCCTACAGTCGCCCAGCTCAGCTCCCATCTCTGCCAGGGTCATGTTGCAGGCCTGCGAGCCATGCCCTGCCCCAACTCCCACTGCCTCCCGGACTCCCAGCCCCATGGTGGCTGGCAAGCAGGACATTATAGCAAAGCCCTCAAGCAACAGTGAAGTGCCTGCCAGCCCAAGGGAATGTGTACAGCAAGGGGCAGCCACAGCAGCAGCCCCTAGCAAGGGGGCTCAGTTGGGGATGCAGGACAGCTCTGTTACTTCTGCACTGCCCACAGAGACTGAAGGTACAAGAGCCCAGAGCTGCTTAGCCAGGAGCCTTTGTGGGGGGAGGGTGTTGAGGAAAGGGGAAGGGTCACAGGGCAAGAAGAGCTGTAAGCAGGTGGAGCAGAACTCATCCGGGGGAGGGAACCTCACAGAGGGCTCACCCTTGCCAAGGAAAATAAAGCTCAGCCGCCTGAAACTGCCGCCTCCTGCCAGCATTGGTACCACAGAGGCACCCAGCGCCAAGAGCCTCACTAAGGCTCACACATCCATCAAGCGCCTTTGGCGGCAGAAGAAGCCAGGCGGGGATGAGACAGGTCAGCCAGACCAGGCCAGCCTCTTATGTGGGAGCCAAAGCTCCCCTGCACCTCTGAAAGCCAGTATCAAGAAGCGCAGTCCAAGCACATCAGCCTCCAGTTCAGACACAGCTTCTGAGGGGCATGTCCGGCGTGTGAAGTTGAGGAAGGCTGTCAATGGTAGCTGCTGGGAAGTGGTACAGGAGCCAGCTGCCCAGGGAGCCCCCAAGACCACAGGAGAGATGGATGCAGAACCTGTTACAGAGGACGTGTCCTTTGTGGCATCCTCCTCAGCCTCTGAATCACACAACTTAAGTTGCTTGGAGCTGCAAGGGACATGCTCAGCTGGCTCTGCAGCGCAGCTGCCAGGAAGGCTAGAGACCGCACCCTTCCCTGAGGAGGCTTCAGTGGAACAGGCATTAGGAGAGATGTCCATGGGTGAGCAAGCAGGCTGTGGAAACCCCTGTGAGCTGGAAGGAACTGTATTAGACCAGCTGAGTGAGGGTGATGAATTTGGGAACTTGGCTCCCTTAGGGGATCTGGAGCAGATGCTGGACTCGATGCTGGCAGGCAACAGCAGTACCATGGAAGGTCCATGCCTTGCTAAGCTGGGAGAGGTGGATGATGGGCAGCCTTCTGCAGGCCCATCATGCCGGTTAGATGCAGCTTTAGTGGATGCTGATGCAGCAGCAGGAAGGGAATGGCAACCCCTGGACATGCAGCTTTGGCCAGAATGGAATGAGGCAAGTGAAGTACTCATGCCAGGAGGGGAGCAGGGTAGGGGTAGCCCCCTTCTCAGCTCTGCAGCTGGAGATGCTGTGGGATACCCTGTGTGTGGCCAGCTTGTCCCACCCTTCCCTGCAGACCTTAATGAAGCTCTGCCAAGTAGCTACTGCCCCAGCCCCATGTCTGCTGGACTTTCCAGTCCCCACAATCTTCAATGCCATTCACCATTGGTTGGGAGGAAGGAAACCCGGTCAGACTTGGGGTCCCCTGTTCCAGTGGAAGATGGTGGGGGGGACAGATGGGAGCCCTGCACCACCTGGTCAGTCTATGCAGAAACTGCTGGGATGGAGACTACACCTGATGTTCAGGTGCCACTGGTGCTACAGCAAAGCAACCTGAAAGAGCGTGGCAACTGGGACTCCCACCTGACACCACCCTCAGACAGCCCAGAAGGAGATAAGATGGATGAAATAATTGATGTGACAGGGGTCGAAGAAGGACCAACTCCCATCAGTGTCCTGTGTGTCAAACCTGATCCCTCTTCAGAGTCGGATGATGAGGTGGATGTTTTGAACTAGCAGTGGCAGGGCCTGATTTCTGGTGAGGTGGCCCTCTGCTGATGCCTGAGATGCTGTTGCCCCAGCTAATACTTAACCATTGGAGGGTGCTGTTAAATAAATGAGTAAATCCAGGTGTTTGAGGCTGGGAATCTGCAGGCCCTGGTTGCTGAAGGACCTCCCTTGGTGCTAAAAGACTCCTGGAGGGAGGGGAGGGGGAAACAAGCCTCCAGATGGCATGATGGGTAGATCCAGTAGTGAGGCAAGGCCAAGATGCAGTGTCTGCTTTTGCAGCTGGGATTTGGCTTGAACCAGAAACACCCTGCAGTTCCCTGGGGGTGGTGCAACTGGGCTGAGAATGGTGTGGCCACAGTGTGACCTACTTTACCATCTGCGAAGTTAATAGAGCTCTAATGGCTGCTGCATTTAAAGGAAACTTGCCAAGGCATTGGGATAGAGAGGAATGGTGGGGTGGAAACTGCCCTACCCTGCTTGGTCTTAAGCAGTTCCTTTTTGAAGAGCTTGCTATGGCAGCAACCTAGACAGGTGCACAGGTTATAAGTTTTTTGGGTTTTTTTGTTATGAGACCCATTGAGCTAACTTACGTGCAAGATAGAGCTGCTTGTGTGCTGAGAAGAGAAATAGCCTCCAGGGGGACTTAAAGGGCATGGAAACATCAAGGGAAGGGAAAAGGGTCAGGAAGTTTGCCTTCTTCAGTGTTGTAATTTTTTTCAAAGGAGCTGATGTGAATCTTCAGTATTGAGGACATCCAGCAACATCCTCCCAGTGTTTCTGCCTGGCACTGGGTAGTCCTGGCCTTGCTGCAGTTTTACTTTATCTTCCGTTGTGCATTTGACTCATCTCCATTCATGTCTCAACTGTCTTAACTGTCTGCACCTCTGTTGCAGGGGCCCTTGTCCAGTCTGTCCCTAATGCCCTTATCCTGTTTCAGGCCTACACTGCTGTGACTGTTGGCTTGTGAAGAAATGTCTGCATTAGCTAGTTTAACAAGCATGGGCTCCAAATCTTGTCTGAGACTTCTAGAATGAACCAAGAGGGCTTTTTGCTTGCATATTGTGTGCATGTTTGTTGGTTCTTTGCATCTAGGCCAAAGATGGGAGCTTCAGCCAAAATGTGGAATTCCTCAACTTTCTGCCTGAGAGGAGCCCTCAAACCTTTTCAGCCCTCTGAGAGAAGCCAAAAAGCAACATCTGCAGATGCTTTTAAACATGATAGGACATTCAAGCAATGTGTTTGTAAAGCTGGGCCATGATTATGATTCAAGTCCCCTATTTCCTGTTCATGAATCCTACCCCTGCCCCCCACTTCAGGCTCTGCCACTTGCACCACTAGAGCTTGCTAGTTTGTAGGCAGCTGAGATTAGTTTCTGTGAGCTACAATCATTGCAGGGTGGACATACCAAGTCTTAAAAGTAAACTCATTTCAAACAGACACCTCTATGACAAATTTGCAGAGCAATAGTACTAGCAACAGTCCTTCATTCAACTCCCTATTCCTGTGTACCTGCCCCAGCACTTGAGGTAAGCAGCAGGTTGTTCATTTACTCAATAACTGGCAGTCCCTTATCTTTTCCTTCCCTGTTCTCCACCCCTCACAGGACAGAGTGCTGTCTGAACTGCTAGCTTTGTCCTCTTATGTAATCTGGACCCTTTTCTCTGAACTGCAATCTACTGCTGTGTTCATTACCTCCAATCTGCTGCAATTCTTGATTTCTCGTAACAAAAGTGAAATCACCTGGGTATGTCCTGATACTCCTTTTGCCTTTCTTAGTGGAGGGCTTTGTCACTTTGCTCCAGGAATTCCCCGTGGCAACAGAGAACAGGTAACAGCAAGGAGAAGCTGGAATAAGTGTTATAGGTTGCAGTTTGAAATAAAGTGTTGGACTTGTTTGCACTGATGTGTTCACATCCTGTTCCTTGAGATGCAGCAGAGCAGGCAGTCAACTCCCCCTAGTGGCAGGCTGTGCTGTATGAGATCAGAAGACACTTCCTGAGAGGGGACAGGGCCTCTAGCAGTTATCCCTACTCCCTTCCCCCAAGGCAGGATGTTAGACACAGCTGACTTTCCCATGCCGAAGTTAAGTTCTCACTGGCGTTTCTATAAACTTTATTACAAAATTCTGAACTACAACAAATCATCACTGCTGGTTTCTTGTAAGAAGGGAAACAGAGTGGCATGCTGTGGCCATTGGCTCCCTGTGTGTAGAGCTGCAGCATCAGAAATGTGACTGGGTCTGGCTTATGCCCCCACTTCATCACACCTCTTCATAAATGCTCTGGTTCTCACAAGAAGTAGACTGGTTCTCAGCCTGGCTGCAAGGGGAAGAGGAAGAGAGGGTGTTGATCCTGACAGAGGAACAAGGGGTGTTACATCTAACTACCCACCCTACATTTCCACCAAGAAGGCTGTCACGTTACTCAGGTCCACAGACTACTGTTAAGATGAGTGGTTAGGTCACTGGGCCAGGATGCAACAACAGTGACCTAAAACTACAGGAGTCATTAGTGGCATCAAGACAGTTATCCTCTCTGCATTTTGCTTCCCCACAGCACCTACCTGCACTGGAGGTGCTTAGTCACAAGGGTTTTTTTTTGTTTGTTTGTTTGGGGTTTTTTTGAGTCCTGTAGATAGCAGACCCTAACCTGAGGGCTGGAGAGAAGGAATATGCTGTGTACATTCAGGCTTCCGCTATGTAGCCAAGCTATTGATCCAGAACTCAATCACATTCTCCAGCTGCTGCTTTCCCTCCAACAGCATTTGGCAGGCAAGTGGAAACCCGTCCTCACAAAAAAATAGTTAAGCCAGCCCTATCTTGGTACTACTTCCCCCACCCACCTTGGTGGTACTGGCTCTGTCTAGTCTGAGGCATCTGGCCTAGCTATGTGCCTGCAGCCTGCTGGACCATTCAGCCCATCACATCCCTTTAAACAAAGGTCTGCCTTATAGGCAAAACAGCAAAAGGGTGCATGGGAACCAGACCTGATGCCTGCTGAGACAGCTAATGGCTGTGACAAAGTATTACCATGCAGAACCAATGCAGCCAGGAGACTGCCAGTGGGACTTGATTCTCACACAGCCAACACTTGGAAACCAAACTCCAGTGACAGGGCCTTGCAGCAGAGCCAAGGGGAGACAGAATGGCCTTTGAGATCTTCCATTCTGGCAAGGAGGAAAGAGCCCTGCTTGGTTCAGTATTAGGAAGTCACGAATTTATCCATTAACAGAACAGATCTGCGCCAGTCTGCAGGATTCCCCCTCATAGTGGTTTTTAAATGCCACAGTAACTCTAAGGTAGGGGGGTTTCCTTACAGCTCTGCCCCTGACTGAGGAGGTGCAGTCCTTCCTTTTGCCCTAGACATGATCTCTGTGAAAACCCCACTAGGAACAACTCACCTCAGTCTCCTGTCCCATTGATTTTGCTTTATGCCAAGCTGCTCTTCAGTGCTTCAACCACCTTCTCCGGCTCAGGAAATTTGAGCTTGCGAGGCGGCCCCTTCTTAATGCCACTCCATAACTCCACCACTAAAATGCACAAAGCAAAGAAGGCTTGGGGTTACAGAAGGGGTACTGCTCACTGGGTTGTACTGCAATAGCCCATGGCTGGGCTTAGTGTTCACAGCACTGCAGACCCTGGAGGAGGAGCAGGGATGGTCCTTGCCTCACTGAGCTCAGTCCAACAGGGGCCTACCTCCAAACTGCCCAGCCTGCCTCCACCCTCCTTCCCAGAGCACTGAAACCCTGGCAAAACGCTGCTTTTAGGAAGCTCATCAGGTGTCCATCAAGGCACTGGCCCCACCTGAACAGGACCTTTACCCCACCTCCCCATGAAGGCGGCACTTACTGCTTCCATCCTCCTTCACCAGGGACACCTCGAAGCTATTCCTACGTGGTTTCTCAGGGTTGATTTCCACTGCCAGGTTGTCAACAGCATGGCGCAGCGCCTCGCTCAGAGCACTGGCATTGCGCCCATACACTCGTCAGCTTTGACTGCAGGAAGAGAAGAGGTGGTTAACCCACGGGCAGAGAAGGATAAGGAGACAGCAGCAGTAGCAAGGAACACGTGTGTGAAGTGATGGGGGCCGACAGGCTTAGGATCCTGCTGCAACCAGCCACCCTCAGGCTGTACCATCCGTCCAGCGTGTCCCAGGCACCAGTCTGGCTCGGCCCCCCCAAACCGCGCCCTGCTCCAGGACACGCTTCTCTCGTTCTCCACCGAAGACAGCCACTGCCACCCATCCCTCCTTAGGGGGCAGCTCTGGCGCCTGCCATAAGGACTGAGCAGCCCCCAGCCGCAGGGACTCACCAGTGCTCAATGACCACACGGGGCCCAGCCCCCGCGCTGCCTGCACCCCGCTGCTTCTTTGGCAACTTATCGAGATTGTCCTTGGCCTGCGAAGCCTCTGATTTCTCAGCCTTTGCCACGGGGGCCTCTGCCTTCCTCTTCCGCCCCTTGGGAGCCATCCTGCCCAGGAGAGCAAGCGGGGCAGGTTCTCAGCCTCCCGCGGGGACCGATCTCCCGCTCGCCGAGGTCCCAGAAGGCTGCTCGGGCGCGGACCGGGCCGGAGGGGACCCGGGGGCAGAGCCCGCGCACCCCCACCCAGGGCGCAGGGATTTCAAGGGACAGAGGGAACCAGCCGGGCGGGGATAACCCCGGGCACGAGACAAGGGCAGTGGCACTGCCCGCCCGGGCCAGGGAGGAGCTGGCCGGGTCCAGGGAAGAACGCTCCGGCCTGATCCGGCCGCATGCGCGAGATGCGGCGGCGCCTCCTGCCTGAGCACGGCCCCGCCGCCCCGGCTCTGAGGGCCCCGCCGCGTCTCGTCCCCTGGGCAGGGCCCGGGCCCAAGGCCGCCGCCGCTGCTACGCAGCACGAACCCACCTACCGCCGCCGCCCGGGCCGCCACTGCGGGAGGCACGTGGGGCCAGCACGGAAGGGGGCGGGGCAACGCTCTGGGTTCAACCATTTCCCAAAGAAGTGGGGAGCGAAGACAGTGGGAACGTAGAAGACGGGAAAAACCTTCCATCAAGCCTGGCCCTGGCCCACCCCCGCTGCAAGGCAAAAACGCACTGCGCCCCGCCCCGTTTTGCGGAATGGTTCCGGCCCCGTGATTACCTAACATTTCGAACGAGGCTTCTCTAGAGCTAATTGTCACCCGAGCTAGGCAGGGGGCGTGGCCTCTTCTCCGAGGGAAGCATAGGGCCTCCGGCTGTGGTGTCCCCCTCCCCCTCCGCCTCCCCGGGTGCGGGGCCGCAGCAGCACCCGCGAGAAGCCAGGCCTTCTCCCGGGCCCTGCCCGTAGGAGGGGCGCATTCCACTCTGGTCCCAGCACCCAGCTGAAACAGCCGGTGCCTCTGGTCGCCCCTTCTCCTCTGCGAGCCCAGACACTGCACAGCACAAAGGGTGGTTGTTGTCAGGTTTATTACAGAGTAACTGCCGATGGACGAGATGATGATTTCTAGAAGCATAAGGAGCATTTGTCCTGCATCCCCTACTCCTCCCCTCCCAGCTGCTGGCTTGGGTGAGGAGGGCTCTGCTGCCACGCACAACTCAGGGGCTGCGCCACCTGCTCTCCTGAAGACAGAGCCCCTCAGGCAGCATCCTGCTAAGCCACTGGCTGCTCCAGGCACCCTCACAACTGCCCCTGTGGCCAGCTCCTGTGTCCAAGGAACTGAGCCATGGGGACTTGAAGTATTTAAACCAAAAACTGCTAGACACAGGGACAAGAGCAGGGAAACAGTGGTGAGCTCTGCCCTCCTCTTCCAGAGGAAGGGAAGAGGGGCAGAAACCCCTGGGTCAGGAGGCAGGCAATCCTCCCTCAGGAGTCTTCCAGAGCAGCAAAGCCCAGTTCCCATCATTCCTTGGCTTGGATGAGCAAGCTGGTCACCTATGTACTGCTCTGCCCCACTACAATGCCCAGAGCCTTGCTTTCCCCAATAAGCAACATAGACAGCTCTCCCAAGCAGTGCCACATGAAACCAAGAGCCTATGGAGTAGAAGAGGAAGAGGGGGGAAGGGGGAGAATATACTCTGATAGGACTCCCTCTAGGTAACAGGCCAACCCCCTAGCACAAAACCCTGCCGGGGGGGGGGGGGGAGAGAGGAGAGGCTGAGACCTACTAAGCCACAGTAACCAGTGTACATCTGAAACAATCTTTACCCCACAACCATGATCCAAATTGAGAGCGCAGATCTTTGGCCAGGGCATACTGGACTAAACACAGGGTAGACCAGAAAGGCATCTTCTTCCCTCAATCCATACCAGCTCAAACCCAGCCCCTGCTCCATTCCCAGATTCCCTACCCAGCTCATTCAGTCCAATCTGGAGCATGGGAGTATAGGGGGAAATCAGCCCTTTACCCCCAAGCCAAATTGCTTTAGATGTCAAGGTAGAATCTCCCTTCTGGACCATAATGACATGGCTTGATTAAGCATGGGCAGTGCTCACCCCTAGCAGAGCCATCATTTCTCACCCCTTGAAGCTGGCTACTAGCCCTCACCAGTTCCTGGGGCTCAGTGACCCTCCTTCCCTTTCTGCCATTCCCATGGGGGCACCCTGTCCCAGGAAAGGAAAGAGTAGAGATGCAGAAATGTGACTAGTCCCACATGTCACAGGGTGCATGTGTAGGGGGGTGAGGGTGGTGGGGTGGCATGACCCATCTTCACACAGCTTCCACTAGTTATGCTGGGGCACCAGCCCACAGCTGGGCCTTGCTGGGCACTGCTGCAGCACAAACAAAGGGGAAAGGAGGGGGTTATCTGGGAAGGGTAGGAAAGGCTCTACTTGTCCTTCTTGTTTTCACCATTAGAGAGCTCCACGCCAGCAGCCAGGAGCTCTGGCTGCTCTGCAGCCTCCTCAGGCACGTCATCTCGTGGCTGCTTAGACAGCTTCTTGGCCTTTTGGTACAACTCATTGAGGTTGAACTCCCGGATCACATTCTCCTGCAGCACAGAGACATCAAAGCATCAGCACTGCCACAGCCTTCGTGCACCCTTCAACAGGAGGACCCCAAACAGCCAGTGGGTAGAAGTGCCCTGCAACAGGGAGCACCTGCCCTGTTACTAGGAGAAGGCTAGGGAACAAGCAAAACCTGCAAGGGCCATTTAAAAGTAGGGTCTTCATGGCCTGAAGGAATATGAATGCAGGCAATAATGCCACTAGCAAAAAGTCCTTGGAGGACCCGGCTGGGTCTGGGACACTCCATGGTCCAAAGGCGTGGGGGGCAGTATATCCTGGGGCAACATTTAGTTCTGAAGAGTGATCTACACCATAAGAAGGTTGGAGATCACTGCCCTAGAAGGAAAGGAAGCCAAAAATGGAATAGGATTGGAGTACCTTATCTAAAAAGATGAGGTAAGGAACTTGACGACTGGACAGTTTGAGGTGAGAAAAAGTTATAAAAGTAGTAGACAAAGATGGTGTGCGTTTTGTGTTGCCACCCTCAGGAGACAAGAGCACCCTTGTTGGAATTCTTGTTCGAACAATGGGGATTCCAGAAACTAAAATATCCCACGCTCAAAGCAGAGGATCTGAGGCTGGTACCGCCAAAAGTTGCTGTTGTAACGACTGAAGAAACCGGTTGCCATGTCACATTACAGGGAGGAAACTTCTAATAAAGCCTACAGGTTACTATTATTAAAGTTTACCTGACACCAAATTGGACAAAGGTTCATGTCAATCCTTGGGGGGCTCTAGTAAAAGGAATCCTAGGGGCAACAACAGGACACCTGGTGCATACAGCCCCCTATGACTCAACCATGAGAGAATCCCCTTGCTTGATAATGCAGGCACCCCCAGACCCCAGCCTATACTTCATGCACATGCACACCCCACCTCAGAGAAGGTCCAGGAGACAGCCCGGCCTTTCTTATCAATCTGTGGCCGACGCATTACTTCCTTCCCAGCCTGGAAGAGGATCAGGGTGGGCAGCTGCTTGGTGAGGGGTGAGGTGCTCACTTTATACCTGCAGAGACAGAGGACACAAACAATGTGACTCCCCACCCCGGTCACTCATGTCCCCTACCTGATCCCTGGATCTCTAGAAGAATATTGGCTCCCTACTGCAGATAGGCAAAGGCATGCTGAGCCTACCTGCCCTTCCCAACCAGAAAACCCCCTGGTAATGGGGCAGAGACAAGAGGAAGGGCTCAGATTTCAGACCCTTTCCCATGTAGGATTAGAGGACAAGGGTCCCCTGCAGCCAAGGCAGAACTTTCAGATCCTGAAGTCACTCTAGTGCTGCAGGGAATGGGCAGCCCCAGCATTGCACCTCTTGATCCCCATGCCTAGCACAGCCTGAACATGCTGACCTGGTGCTCACATCTGTGTAGCGGCCCACATCCACCTTCCCGAAGTGCAGCCCTGTGCAGTTGTACCTGGGTGGGGGAGAGGAAAGTTGTGGTTAGTGCAAGAAGATGCCAAACAAGCTGATTCCTTTGCCATGAGCCCCAGCTCTGGCTAAGGCAGCTCCACTTCCCGTTCCCAGAGTCCAGCTTGGCAGAGGGTGCAATTGGGATCCTTCCCATTCCCCCCTCCACCCCCCACCAGCCCCAACTCACCAAATCCCCAGTTGGACGTCACTCACTTGAGAGAGAGGTCAGCAAAGATGGGTGCAAACGACTGGCACTCACTAGACCAGTTAGCAAAGAACTCCACAACCCATGTCACCCGCTTGTCCCGCTCCAGCTCCTCCTATAAGATGTAGCAACAGATCAGTTGGAGACCAATGCTCCAGGTCTGGCCCCAACTCTACCAGGCCAGTGCCCTGGTGGGTCTCCCTCCCTTGTGTTATAGCACAGCCTGCTGGATAGGCTGAAAAAGGGGCAAACACAGGCTCAAAGCTGGTCTCTAAGGGCATGTCTACCCTGTTACTCAGCCCTACCCCTGCTATTCCTACCCTTCTAGCCTACCATGAACACCACGTGCCCTTGGAGGTGGGGGGCACATGGTGAGCTTCTGCAGGCAATGGTGGCACTGTCAGCAGTGGGAGTGGGGCAGCAGTAGGCAGTGAGCTCCTGCAGGCAGCCGTGGCACTGTCGGCGGCAAGGGGGAGGGCGAGCGCCGACCATGGTCAGCAACCACCCACAGGCAGCACTGGCAGCATCAGTGGCAATCAGGGACCGTCTGCAAATGCCACTGGCAGTGTTGACGGCAGGGGAGGAGAAAGCAGCAACTGCCCACAGATGGCACCGGCAGTGCTGGCAGCGCCTTTCACAGGGGACACACCGCCTAGATAGGGGGTCCTTGTGCACCTGCGTGCACCCCCCATGTGTTGCCAATGCACCCTACAGTTAAACACCCTTAAACTCATCCTTGGCAGCAGGCCTGTTTACCCCTAGAAGCTCTCCTAAGCATGGCCCCCATCCCCCAAAGAGTTCACCACAGTGTTGCAGGGTCTTGTCTGCTAGCACCCAGCTTCCAGATGTTCTGTGTGTTACTTCCTAGCTTTACTGCTCATCATTATAGCCAAGCACAGGAGAGACAGGTGGTGGACAGGCGATTCCTAGAAGAGCTCCACTGGCATGCTGCCCACTACCCATCTCTCCTTTTGTGCTTGGCATGTATATGACAAAGCAATGTAAACAGAGGCGAACAACTCATGTGGTAGGGGTAGATAACGGTGACCTTCTAAACAGCGGTACAGATCTACTGCAAGCCAACCCAGCTTATACACACTTCATGGCTTGGAGGACAGGGGGAGGCAGGGAAGCAGGAAATACTCACATCAATGGTTTTGTCGCTGAAATACTTGATGTACTCAGGGCCCATGTAGAGGGGGGGCTTGCAGGTCATCAGGAACACTAGAAAGGCATACACATGGCACATCATGAATGGGCCAACTCTGTACAAGCCTCCACCCCAGGAGCAATTTGCTCAGTCTTTGCACTGTTCAAAGCTGGAGGGTGCTGGACCTGTCATACTGGGGCACAGATTGGGGAAGTGGCAGCAGCCAACCCTGGTGAGGCTGGTTTAAAAGCATCCTGCTTTTGAGCCAAGTGGCAGCACCTCCACCTGGCACTTAACATCAACTGGAATCAAAACACATTTCATGATAGGGAAACTGAGGCACAGATAGTGGAGGAGCTGTGCCCAAGCTCACCAAGCAGGGACAGCGGCACAGCAAGGAACAGAAGAAAAGAGGTCCCAAGTCCTAGCCACTTGGCTATGCACCAGAAAGAGCTGCCACCCTACATCCTGAATTCTGCATAATGGGCAGGCTGGCAGTGGTTATGCTGCATGTGCAGTCCCTAGTGCAATAGGCACTATCTTGGGCTGGAGCCAGTTGGTGCCACTATAATTCAGACAATATTAGCAAGCAAGTCCACTGATAGGGGCAAAGGGCTGATATGGAAGGAGTGGGTGCCCTCTGGGGCAGCCACTGCTCCAACACGGACAGAATAAAAGTGGGAAGACTTCATCAAGAGGATGGTGTTTGGTCCAAAGATGGATCACGGATGACACTTAAACCAATGCTGTCACATACCCTCTCTGCCCCTGCAGAGAGGAGAGGCAGGACAGTCCCATAATGGCCGGGAGCTGGACCCAGACATTTTAACTCCCCATCCCATCTGCATCCCTGGGACAGCCCAGCCCTGCT